GCGCTGATTGGCTAATGGGACTGTCATTTGCAAGGTTGTCCCTGGGGGAGGCCCGGCGGATGTGTCGATGGGAATGAAAAATAAATAAAACAGACACGGGCCGAGATCAAAGCGGCGCCTCTCGGGCTGGAGGTAATGGCTCTGTGCGCTGCCGCTGAGCCAATTAAATGCTCGGCCGAACCCGTGTCGGCACCAGGCGAACAAGAGCCGATTTTGGAAGCACTGTGGGCAGATGCAGCCGCCACAGTTGCCGCTGTTGTCACCGGGGGAGATGGAAAAATCCCCGCCACCGCCGGCGGTTGCCAGCCGCTGCTCACGGGGATGTCATTCCTGGCGCTGAAGGTGATGAGGTGTTCCCTGAAGCACGGATTGCGAGACATACCATCGTTAGCAACAGCAAGAGCAAAGGCAGGGCTTTATGCATTTAGGCCAGTAGCAACCAGCTGCCGTCGGTTACCGCTGGGCTTCGTCGCTGCTTCCAGCTCATTTGAAAAACTTGGATGTTTTATTTGAATTCAAATGTTTGCGGTTTTTTCGCTCGAAGCATAGATATTCTATTAATTGGTCGCATTTTCCGAAAAGCAACAATTATTGCATTATATTTTGGAACAAGACCGAAAACTTACCTTGGGTTCCTGTTTTTATGTAAAACAAAAACGTCAATTTTGAATGCGCTCCTCGCAAAAATGTTACCTTTTGATGACCTGATTCCGTAAATTGTTTGCTAGTTTTCGTGTGCGATCGCAGAGTAAGTTGGATTCGTGCTCCACTTTCCTGCACAAGATGTCATATTGTTGACTTTGAATAAGCACCTGACCGCCTGTCAATCCAACAGTTGTGTGCAAGTTCGAACGCAAACAAGTTCCGCACAAACCATGTCTCGCTCTTCTTTCAACCACACTCTGTGCTTTGTTGCATGTGTCCATTTGACGGCCACCGTATCAAAGCTGCTACCGTTCAGCGAACAGTTTTCATCTGGATGACGTCACCCTGTCAACATGTGTGTTCAAACACGGCGATATGTGACGTCATAGCTGCGAACAGCTGCCGTCCGGCCGCGCGATAGTGTGTGACGTCACTGTGAGCCTGCAGTGCAGTGTGCTGTTAGGCTCCTCCAATGAAAGGGTTCACTAGATGTGCCGATGTTTTTTTTTTTGTCACTTATGGTAAAGACGTTTCAATCATGCCTTCATTCGTCCATGCTGACTTGCGCCCATATTTATTGAACAGTCACCTGTTCAGGGCGAACAGTTTTCTTCTTTACACTCCCCCTCTCAACCCCTCCCCCCCTCCCGCCCCACCTTCATCCCACCGAATCCCCCGTAATGACATGAATCCCATCCGCCGCCCCGTCCGAGCACATTTGCGCTAAAGAACACTGTTACAATGGCCACCCGAAACTAAGCCGTTTTTTGTGCGTTCCGCGAGCGGGACTCGACCCGTCTGTCGGTTCCCATCATCGTGTCGCCGCTGTTGTCCTGTCTGTCGTTTTGTCCGCTCTTTATGCGCTCTCCCTTCCGCGCGCGCGCTCTTCATTGGTAACAGTTCCGGCGCGCGTGTGCACGTGCGCCGCTGGATAGGCGCGGAGCGGTGGTAATCCGCCGTGCTAATTTTGGACGGGTTGTGTGTGAGAGCAAACAGGATTAAAGACAATTTGGAATCTGTCGTGGAGAGAGACGATTGTGGCGGTGGTGGTGGTGGTGTGGTGTCAGGTGTGGTGGTGGTGGTGGTTGATATTTTAGTGGCGGTGTTGGTGATAGTGTTTGGTGCAGGTTGTGGATCATTCGAAACAATTTTTCATGTTTTTAAATTGCAAAGAAAAACGGATATTCATTGTAAACACCTAAATACTTTCCAACAGTCTACGACAGCAGGTTTTCAATATGTTTACAACGAAACATTTTCGTTACTGAATTAGACGTGTTTGTGTTAAGGCTTTCCTAGAAAATGTTTTTCCCGATCTTTTGGGCCAAGCGTCAGATCGGTATCACAAAAAATGTTGGGATTTCATCTCCACCCAATTAATCTCCATTCAATTCATCAATGTTTGACAAACATTTACCAATTTTAAGGAATGTCTGAAAAAGTGAGCAATAGGCAGCTAACGATAAGTGAAAACTTGCAAATGTCTCCTGTTTGAAGTGATGGCTTCGGGGAAATATAACTGGTCGCTAAGTCCATGAATTTATATCGACAGTTATGGCAGTTTTGAGATGCAGTGGTGCAGAGAGACTTGATATTTACCTTTTAGATGCTCATGAATTCGGATAGCTTCGAACAAGACGTGTTGCCGGATCGGGAGTGGTCCTTAGACCTTAGCCAGTGATGCGGAAACTTCTGTTTTCCTTACAATCCTAATTCTGAACACAGTTCTTATGTTACTGAAGTGCTTCTGTTGTTATTACTAAGTGAGTTGAATTCTTCGAAAAAACAACAACTTTTGGAACCATGTTTGTTGCCCATTTAAATGGCATGTCTTTTGAATATTTCACGTTTGATGCCCTCTACCGCTCGCGCTAGATTCAAAACCATAGTTTTAGCACAGCCGCAAATAACTCCTCTCAGCTAGGATCTTTTAGCCAAAAATAGTCATAACGAGAATGGATCTATTAGGCCATGTCGCTGGGGTTAAAAGTAAACTGGCTGCTGGTGCCGTTGTTCTGATGAGTCAGGATGGCCGGTGTGCCGCTCAGCAGCCGCTAGCTGGCTGCATCCGCCGCCGGCACGCTCCCGGGCCCGCCGCCGCCCGGCTCAACCCTTTGATCTTGCCGACATTGCATACGGCGCGACGGGACTCTTTAATCGGGCAGACGGCACGTGCCGGGCGGCGCAGTGTCCGAATAGCGAATTTTCATCAGAAACTGAATTTTCAGCCGGTCGGAGCTCGTGCAGTTTTTAGCGGGCCGCCTATTGGCGGCGCAGGCAATAGGAACTGTATTTCAGGGTATCGTTTCCGGTCGAAATGACGGTATTTGCCGGGGGCGCAACAAGAAGAGGAGAGTTAATCACAAGCAGCAGACACTGAAAAACCAACACCACTCTCCGAGAGTGGTGTTGGTTTTTCAGTATCTGCTGCTTGTGATTAAAAAGTTATTTCTATTTGCGCGAGACAAACGAATGGAGACAATGTTTTAAGAGATTGTAAAAGTTCGCTGAGTTTGATATTGTTCCACTCACAAGCATGCTTTTCTTTCTTTATTCTTCGAGGAGGCAACTATGGCAGATCAACATCGCTATGATTGCAATGGGAAAGTGCTTGCTGTACGACAAATGTAGGTAAAGCTCACATGATCACGTGTTGAAACTTCGCTCAAACTGCTATTTGCAAAATGTCTTAACTGCCCAAGGTTTTACACAGCACCAAAATCCACGCCAAACACCAGCCCTGTCGCGGTCTCCCCTCGCGCGAAGTATCTGAGCCCTGACCTCTGACCCCACCCGTCCTCCGCGCACTCAACAGGCGCCCTCACCACCGCCCGAGGCACTAAATCTGGCAACTCTCGCGGTGCGTCGATTGAATCTGGCAGCATCAGTATTCAGTCGGCATATGAAAATGTAGGTGCAATGATCGGCCGCGCGCGGGGGTTACGAGGGGAGATGGCGGGGAATGGTAAGCAGATTCGAGACGCACTGGTTCGGACTGCAGAGAACTGAGATGGGCTCTGCGATCACCTCTGGTTCGTAAGGATCTGGTCCGATCGCTGTGGCGATGGGGTGAGGAAGGGGTAAGGAAAGGGGTGGAGTAGTGCAGGGACTTTATTATTGCCAGAGACGATTTGTTTTCGAGTAGTCGGGTAGGAAGTAATGCATGTATCGCGTTTGTGAGATGGTATGAATGAAACGGTTTTTATCACGGGTTAGATTCAAGATGGCTTCAAGGCTACTAAGTTTCCCGAAATGTGTACATTTTGTTATGCGATGTTATGCCATGGATAGCTATATATTTATTCATGTACTAAATGAGCAGCTGAGTTTATCATGAAGCTTCCCTCCCATTATCTCGTAGCTAGTAATACGCTAAAATCACCTAACCCTCACATCAGATAGGCCGTGACGGGCGGCATTTTGGACATAAAAATAGCCTCTGCACTGGTGTCTGAATGGCCTATTTGGCGTTTTTGTTGGGCTAATAGCTGCTCTCGTTTGTTGTACCCTTCAGAGGGTCGTCAGATCTCGCAAAGATCGCAGAGATATCGCGGCGGGCATTGTGTCGCAGAGGGTCGCCACGGGTCTTCATTGTTTTATTGAGTCGGCTGCAGATGCTAGCTATGTGATAGTATCTGTGATGAGAGGGGTAGGGGCTGAGAGGGAGAGATGGGGTAGGGTGAGGGAGGAATATTGAATATTCAAAGGGTGAAATAGATTATGAGAGTGATAGTGCACCGTCCATGCCCGTTTTATCCGTTTTCAGATGCTATTTTGGTTTCGCTATGTCGGTCGGAATATGTCGTTACAGCTTTCCGCTGTATTGCGATAAGAGTATAGGCATGTTTGCAGAAATATGTGTGGAAATTTTTGTGTTGATGAGCTCTGTGATGCAATGTGTGATATGTTGGACGGGGTGTGCTGTCATGTATATAGTTTGTCACTGATACTGACATGTGCAAGTCAATCGGATACTCTTCTGTTTTTTTTTAAATTTCATGGCTTTTAGCAACGGCTAGTCAGATTGTAATTCAGTTCACCGCTCAGTTTCGATTCAATTAAAGTCTGCTTGCTATGGTTTCGCCGTAACTCCTTTGTACCCCAGCGGAAGAACTTTTGGCTCGCTTTTGTCATTCCTGATAAGAATCTCTTTCGCTACGTGTATAGTCATGCACCTTGGGCAGTGGGCACTTATAATCACATAACAGATTTTACCATATTTAATTTCTTCGACCTCCAAACTGACGTTGTCTAGCTCCTATTTTCAGTCGTCAACCGTCTTTACATACCTGAAGTTCCACATTTAAGTTTCTCTTTTTCCCCACATCTGACGTCTTTTTCTCCCTGTTTTCCAGCCGGGAAAGGTGCCTCTGCACCCGCCGGGTATCTCACCGTTCTTCTACTCTGGAGATTCACTGTCGCAGCCCCCGCCCGCCCACATGGGTATACCGTCGTACCCGCTGGATCCCAAACCAGGTAAGACATGGGAGAAATATCGGGCGGGATTGTGTTCTTGGGTGAATGTATGGTATTGGGATAAAGATATGCTCGTGGGTGAAGATATATGCCTGGGTGAGACCTACACTGGGCGCGATCTATACTTGCATAGCCGTCCTTTGATATAGCGGATTCGTAGATACGTAGATGCGAGATTACGAATTGATTGGATAAGACAGATCATGTCCCAATGGCCCAGTAATATTTCACGTGACCATTTTAGTTGGAACCGTCCAGCCGCGTAAACACACAAAAATAAGGACACATGGTCATTGGTTAGCTTCATCAGATATTGTGCGCTGATATCGCTCTGCATCAGGAAGAAAGGCGTGGTACGCGCTTCGGTGACATCTCCTGGCCTACGGCCGGACGACGCTACGACTCGGGTGTTCCACTGGGGTGTGACGATTTTCCTCGTTAGTTTTTCACATGAGAGGCTGGCAGTGCTTGTTACTGGGCATTCTTCGCTATCTTATGGCAACTTGTGACGCTAAGAGATCGGCGTGAGCGCGTAAATCTACGCGTTTGTCTCGAAGAGCTCCTGGCTCAGTCAAATTGACCGATACCTTGCTGTGTTGCCAAGTGCGACAAATTCAGGATTATAATGATCATTGATGTTGCATTTATTTTTAATGGCATCTTTCCTGGATAACATTGATATCCCCATGTGAGTACACTTCACGAAGTCAAGTGTAATTCTTTAAGCCATTTTTGTCGTAAGTCTTGACTTTGCCAGTGCCGTCCTGTCAGTCAAGTCAATCATGTCCCTCAGAGGTATCGTCTCTTAACTTTCCTAAGCCATCTTTATGAGCCAAGCTATGTTAAGCCAACCTTAGATCACAAGCCATGGTCTCTCTCTCGCTGCATTGCGTCTGGACGCCACTTGAGGTCGCCTGTCTTTGACGCTTCTGACTCTATATCTACACTGGTCCAAATATCACTATCGGCTGTCTATGACTGCTGCCAGACGCACCGGTGACAGGCTGCCATATCTGTCAGGACTGTCATATCTGCGCGCGTGCACCGGTATACGTCAATCGTCACTCGGGGGAGGGGGCGGGGGGCTGGAAGTTTGGTGGTGGATCTGTGCCACCATGAGATCTTGCGCTGTGGTGTCAGAGCTGGAAGCGACTATACGACGTCTCAATGCCGCCTATGCAGTGCTAGCGATATGCCTATTGCCAAATGTTTTGCAGCGATATGCAATTGATAAAAATCTTCTTCGCCCGGTCTTGTTCTTTGCAGCGTTCATGCATGGTGACCACCTGGATTCTGTTGTTCTGACAACCGGGGAGGTAACTCGTTTTCCGGTGGTATATCGCGGCCATGATGGCACTAACGGGAAACCGTATCATTCGCCGGTGGCCACAGGAAAATTTAGACGGATAGCGTGTTATCCAAGTTTTACGGAAGTATTTTCGTGGCGCGAAGTAGACAAAAGTGTATCCGTAACGTGCGAAGGCTCTGTTTTACATGGTAATTTACATGGGCGTTATTTAAAACGGCATTTTAGCACCTTTCACAGACAGAGTTTCCTACGAAACGTTTCATATTGAAATCACGCAAACTAAGTTTGCTGGAAACGCTATACACCGTTAGTAGCACCCATGCACCCACTACAATAATGTTATCTATCAACTATCTTTCGACCAGTCTCAAATATTTGTTTTAGGTCGCAGACGTTCATAACTCTGATTTTATCAAATTTCTACCGGCTGTCCAGTGGCCGGCCCTCCCTCGGTTGGATTGAAGAGTTTTTCTCCGTCGAACCGTGCGCTGATTTTACCAGAGCCGATTCAATCTCGTCCAAATCCGTCCCGATGTGTTGTGACCGATTGATCCGATGTGAGAGAAGAGTCCCCTGATTGGAATCGGGATTAAATAGCGCAGATTTTGAAAAGAGCACCGGATGTTGTCCGGGTAAGCCTTTTTCTGCAGAGGCGTGTCCAGAACGGGAACGAGTTCTCCGGCGGAAACTGTGAATTTTTGTCGCGTGGGCGCGTATTTGTATGTGAATTTTTGTCGCGTATTTATTTGCTATCTAAAAACTCAATAGAACGAAGCTTGTCACAGCATACTGATCATGCATTTGATGCGCGGCACGACCCTAAAGACACAAGGTCCAGAAGTCTTGTTCTCCCATTTTCTCGATGCTGGCGACGCCTCTACGAGGCTGGGCTTAGACGGTGAAATCCAGGAAGTTCATTCTTGTAATCCGCGCGGAAAAATGCTGCCTCAGAAAGGATCGTCTCCAGATAAATCCGGTGATCCTGCCGATCCTTCCAACTACCGTCCTATTTCTATCATCCCAGTCCTTGCCAAAATAGTGGAGCGGGCAGTTCAGCGCCAACTCTACTACTACCTTTCCTCCAACCATCTCCTCTCCCCAACCCAACATGGCTTCCGTCCGCAGCACTCTACCGAGACCGCCCTCACGTGCGTCACCGACAGCATCCTTGCTGCTACAGATTCTGGCCTTCTCTCCATTCTTTGTCTCATTGACCTTAGCAAGTGTTTCGATGTTATCAGTCATGCTAAATTGCTCGAAAAACTCCAGCTGCTGGGCGTCGACACATCCTGGTTTCAAAATTATCTCTCCGGTCATTCGCAGAGTGTAAGCCTCACTTCCTCTGATGGCCGCGTCAAAATCTCACCTCCTCTACCCATCAACCAGGGCGTTTTTCAAGGTTCTAGCCTCGGCCCTGTCCTCTTCTGCGCGTTTGCCAACGACCTGAGCTTGTACGTCTCCGATGGACTGGTTATCCAGTACGCCGATGACACCCAGGTCTTGGTTTCCGGCCCTAAATCTGCTCTTCCAGCGCTTGCATCGCGCATGGAAAGCACCCTTTCCTCTCTTGGCAACTACTTCCTTGCGAACGGCTTAAAGGTTAACGTAAACAAATTCGAGCTCATCACTTTTGGTTCTAGACAAAATTTGCGCAACCTCCCGACGATTAAAATCAGATACCAGGACACGTGCCTGACGCCCAGCACTGAGGTCAAAAATCTTGGTGTGGTCTTCGACCAGCACCTGTCATGGGACGCGCACGTGAGGGCTGTCTCGCGTAGATGCTGCGGCATCCTCGCAACACTATCCCACCTCCGCCACTTCCTTCCTCCTGACACCCTTCCCGAGATAGTCACCGCCCTGGCCGTCTCGCACATCCGCTATTGCCTCTCTGTTTACGGCAGCGGCAGCGCTGGCAACCTCGCAACCATCCAGAAGCTGCTCAACTTTGCGGCTCGCGTGATCGCGGGAAAACGAAAGTTTGACCGCGTGTCAGCTGTGCGAGACAGGCTGGGGTGGCTCGACTCGTCTCAACTCTTCCAATACCAATCCCTCTGCCTCCTTGACAAAGTCCTCTCCTCTAGCCAGCCCGAATGCATCGCCCGTCAGGTCTGCCTCAACCGGGACCATCATGGCCATGTCCGGCACACCAGACAGGACGATCTCCTGCACGTGCCACCCATCCGTTCGGAGGCGGGCCGGCGACGGTTTGTATACCGCTCTCCCCACCTCATGAACGATCTGCCCATGTCGGTGCGGAACCAGCGAGGTCCGCGGTTCAGGCGAGCCCTGAAGGCCCACCTACTCTCGAGACGAGACACGTGATGAACGCGTTTTTAATCATGATGCCGTGCAGGTGGTGTTTTTTTATCCTGAGCTATATGTATATTTTAGGTTGTGTAACATCGTGAGTGTGTATTTTACCCTGCATGTTATGATCCGATTTTATTGACGTGAAGGCCATAATAGCCACTTGTCTTATGGATGGCTCTTTAATAAACTACTACTACTACTAAATCGAGCCCTCGTTATGATCATTTTGTCGGCGCTTGGTTTCAGATGGGCCTCAGGGGTAAGGAAAATTGGACTTTGAGTCGTGTGAGGGTGCTTTGATTCGCCAAATGCCGCTTTTGTCTCGGCGGGTTTAGACGACCGCTAGCAAAAAGTTACGCTTTTAAATGGCACAACGTTATTCAATCCTCTTTTCCTTTGATATTAAAAGCGTGAAATTCTTCTGCCTGGAATATTCCTCATCAAATGAGCTTATTTGCCATTTCTTTGAGCAGCCATTCCCATTCCATGAATGACCACCACATCAATCACATTGACGAGCCATTCCGCTATCTCAGTAGATCACGAGTCAGTTCCAGATGGCTGTTGTCCGTACCTTAATCCACCACCGCCGCCGTGTCTACATTTTTACCATCAACAACCGCTGCACCGTCCTAAAACCATTCTTGTGGCGTCAATTGCCGGTCGAATGGTCCTCACTGTCCCATCGGTAGTGACAGCTGCGATACATGACCGTCTGCAGTGCAGAGATTGTCCGCCCTGTGTCCCGATTTATACAGGGCACATGAACCGCAGTACTCAGCGATGTTTTATACAGAACGGAGCCCATTTGCGGCGGCCATTTGCACACAATGAAGACGTTGCGGTAGAGGTGACCGTCTGGCCCGCTGGCAGGCTGTGTGGCTGGCTGACGGGTCAGCAGGATCAGGAGCCTTGTTCCACAGGATGTCAGCCGTGCCGGCCGATGGCACTTGTTGCACCAGAGGGAGGGACAAATGTCGTGGGAACCGCTACGTGGGAGCGTGACTGAAATGTCCTCGGGGGCTTAGACCATTGACATGAAAAATACAGCGGCGGGTATTTCGTGTTTGTTGTAGGACCAGTGGTTGGTACTTCGGGCAGTCGACATTGGGATTTTTGTTCTGTGTAATGTGTATTCTTGGCTTATGTTCCTTCATGTGACCTTTACAGGCATCGGCGAGTATGTCGTCAATGTATGTGACCTTGACCCATAGGTGACCTTGACCCAATGTGACCTTGAAGTTGACATGCATTTGACGCTTTGCCGGCAGGGATGGCGCGGGCTCCGGTGTACCCGTTCACACCAGTCTCCTCCCACTGCGCGTACCCGCCACTAGGCGCGCCCGACCTGCCGCCGTGGTGAGTCACTCTCCGGCGATCGCGGGTTCGAAACCCAGGGACTACCCACGGTTATAAAGGATAGCTGTGGACAATGAAGCAATCACATTTTTTTTTAACTCTGGAGAAAGTGTTCAATCATTGGATTATTTGTTTTTATTGTGCCATTTTTTTCTAGAGGTTAACACCATAATTATAGGTAGCTCTTGCACTACCATTTTTACACGTCTTGGGCTTGTACAAAAAAAGCATGGTTGTTACATCAAACCTCGCAGGCCTTATAAGTTGCACTGATATATACATTTTTTATGCCGGCTGTACTATCTCGTGTAGCAAGAAGCAAGACTTCTGTCAAGCTGTGTCAGTGTTTCTCGTGCCTTCCTGTTCTCGTGGCGTCCTTTTATGTCTTACATCTCCTTTATGTTGTCTCATGCTCGGTATTCCATCTTTGTGTCCTCCCGTGTCCCCCCAGCCTGGGTGTCCTCAGGTGTCCTGTCTCCCCCCCCCCCCGTACTGATCACGTGTCCTCTGACGCTAAATACCCGCTCGGCCGACCCTCACCACTATTGGAAGTGACATCCCTGTCGGTGATACGACTAACACGTGTTGCAGGCGGCTGGTTAGCATAGGACACTGATTGATGTCGGGTTGAGCGAGGCTCAGAGTGAGAGATGACGTCATCACTTTGGGTAGAGTAGATGATGACCGAAGTAGAGTGTACGGAGGTCAATTGATGATAATAAGCTCATTAACTTATTTCGTGGACCAAGGATAATATCACGAAAGCTATAGTATGTACTCAACTCTGTTTCTGAAGTTTCGGGCAGATCAGCCACTGGTTGTGGTCACTACCCCACCGATCTGGAGCTTGCCTGGCAGCTGGCTGCAGTGAAGCATCATCTGGCAACGCTACAGAAGCGACGGCTAGTGTTGTTACCAGATGGACGTTTCGTGTTCGGCCACTGCCTTATCGCAGCTCCAGATCGCTCCAAAAGCGGGGGACTGCTCCGGCTGGGACGGATAGTGCTGACATCTAGCGGAGGGCTGACAAGCCGTAGTTTTGTAAGCTCTCGTTGAAAACGTGTAGCGCTGTATTACAGACAAGGAGCAGTGTGATTTGACCTGCAGCATAATGATGCATTCCATAACGCATATTGACTGGTGAGGTGAACTAAAGCGACTTTTGGATAATCCGATGCAGGTTGCATCTTGTTGTAGCCTTGATAAGCACCTCAGAGCTAAGCGAAAATGACAAGACCGCGTGCGGCAAGCTTCGCCAAGTGGAGACGAGCTCTCACTGACGATCGAGACCTTTGAATTTTTTTCTGAGGGGATGTTGTAAAACTCATGGTCAATAGTTGGTCACCGGCTGCTGCATAAGATATTGATTAGGGAATAGAGCAATAGCTGCCGCATATCGGCAAATCAGAACTAGGACTGTGTCCGTTTGACTTTGTAGCTATTTATGGGAAGCTGCACAGACAAGGTAACATGAGATGGCATGTGTATATTTGCGTTCAAATGGGGGCATCACAGTGAATATCAGCTCCCATGGTGGTCGACCGAAAAGGATCCGGAGTTAATAGTGCACGGAGTGACTAGTGAGGAGTTTACTATCGCTATCCTATCCGCCGAGTGTCTTGCAAAGCTGGAAGGTCGTTGGGTGTCAACGTTTCTCGTGGCATCAGGATTTTAAACCGGAACGGAAATGGTGCTTCTTAAACGTCTTAGATACGGATTTCTGGTCGGTTGTGTTAGTCAGGCTCCGTGTGTAAAGATACTGCCCCTTAGAATCAAATTTCCGAAACGTACGAGTCTCCATAAACTTGATGTATTGACGCAATGAAGTGGTGCATTTCATTCATCCCGTTAATCCTTTTCATCACAACCTTGCGTCACTGAGTCGCACGATCGGTTCACCTCAATCAATCAAACAATAGCCACGTGAAACAAATCCTAATGTGTGCTCTGTGCTGTGACTCGTGAGTCGTGATTCCATATGACTTTTGAGTCGATGTCGAGTCCATGTCCACCTGTCTATCGACTCTGCGATCTTTTGATGTATAGGGCTGGGGACCTTTATCTGCACTGTGCAGTATATGACCATGAATGTTGGTTGTTGATCTACGGGTACGGAGACCTTTGAGTGTAGCACATGACCCAAACCGTGAATCCATACTCCTTATCCATGGCATGTAGGCATTTGTAACCTACCTCGCTAACACTTCCTCCCCGCTCTACCCGCAGGAATTCTCCGGCGCTCTACCCCTCCACCTCTGGCGCGTTCCGATCAGCCTACTCTGGCCTGCCCTCCAGTCTACACAGGTGGGTGACGTCATCGGGTAGCAGACAGTCGCTGGATGACGTCATTGGATTCATTGTGCGCCGGTGACGGGACTGGCCGTGTTGACAACTTGTGTGTTAGTAAGTGGGCAGTCATGTGTACCTAAGAGCTCTGTATGGGCTGTCGTCTCATGGGTTTAGAACTGAGCGAATCAGCGTTTGTGTTGTTGAACATTGCGTGCCTATTCGTTTTCGTTTTTCTACCTGATAAAAAGAGAGCACTTAGCATCATTCATAAGTAGGTACTCATAAGCATAATTGTTTATTTTGTACGAACCGTGTAAAAAATACTGCTTCATGAACGGATTCAGAATCAATTTCTGCCCTGGCTATAATAGCTGACACCTGATGTATTAGTCTTTCTATTGATATTGTAGCATACAGCTGAATATTGTGACTCCCCCCGTTTGAACGTCTTTTGTACTCGTGGACTGACGCATTCTCTGTATCGTTTCAGGTTTTCTCCTGGCCTGCTTCCCCACAGTTTACCGCCCCACCTGCTTCATCCCGAGTACCTCAAACACAACGGAGACAACCGGTGAGCGAACTGACGCCGGATACAATCGGGGGGGGGGGGGGGTGGATTACGGCATAGTCGTGATCAGTGAATAGTGGGCCTGTGTCATAAAACAATGCTCAGCTTTAGTTACTGTCAGCTTCACTTCATCATGTTTATTGATAGCATTGTTTAGTTTTTTTTTTTTAAATATAATCTACAGGGTCCCTAGATTTATGTGTATCAAAGGAACTTCAATAGACATGAGAGCTGTACGTTGCCCTATGACTGTGTATAATCCTATAGCAATCATTTGACCCATTTCACCCCTGATAAATTATATTACAAACTTATTCAGCCCGCTTAATTTGCGTTAAGATTTCATCCAACCTTGTCTAACATCTTTTCAATCTCATTTAGCCCGTCTGACCTACCTGAGCCCTCTGCGTAACCCCCGTGACCCGTGTTTGACCCCGTGACCCCCGTTCCAGGCATAACGCGGACGTGAAACCGGTCATATCTGCACCTCCCCCCGGCTCGGGCTCCAAACAACAGCAAAACAATGGTCAGGAGCCGGGTACGTGTCGATACACTCACTCGGATGTCTATCGAACACACACACTGGGGGTAAACTGGGTGTAGAGTAACTCGGGGTTGGTATGGTTGAACAGTTGTGTCAATAGTTCGGTGTAGATTCAGATGTGCAGTCATACGTTGAAGAATTTGAGGAATTATTGTTTCAGTGTCATTTGTGTGAGAGTTTTGCATAATTTTCTTAAATATTGCAAAATATGACTGATATTTTTTTCGATTAGCTTGTAAAGAAGGTCTTGCTTCAACGATACTAGCATCGTAGGTACATGTATCTCTAACGCTGCTCGTACTGTTCTCTCCCCAAGTGTCTGACGCTGCCCGCCTGTGCCGAGCAGAGAAGAAGAAGTGTCACATCAAGAAGCCTCTGAACGCCTTCATGCTCTACATGAAGGAGATGAGAGCCAAAGTGGTGGCCGAGTGCACACTGAAGGAATCGGCAGCCATCAACCAGATCCTCGGCAGACGGGTAGGTGGCGCTGCTGAGCTGCTGGTGTATAGATGTCGCCACTGAGCAGAGGCATGTGCGGCTTGTGGATATCGGTGTCAGCTAGCCGTTTGGACTTCGGGCCGGGGCGATGTGCTTCTGAAAGGCGGTGGGTGGGGATCACTGTTATGCTGATATGTGTGGATATTATGTTAT